GGACAATACAAAATGGGAATGTACGGCGTGTGGCGTGTAAATCTATAAAAATTAAACTACAGCTTCCATATGATATTTGTAATAGAAAACTCTTATACGAAAAAGTATTTTCTTCGCGTTTTTTTTTTGTAAATGAAAGTTCATTTATTCAACGAAAACAAAGGCCGACCCTGTGTTATTTATTAAAAACTTTGGAAATGTTTTTATGCGACCCGAGATGCAGCCTTATAATTTAAGTCGGTATAATCCTAGTAATACTAATAGATGGTTAGGTTACATTGTCAAAAAATGTGTGCAGTCATCTGATTTTGTATTTGCACAGACAATATAGCGTATCGCTACAGACTGCTACTTAAATGCTGGAAATTAGCAACCCGAAATGGAAGCAGGGTCTCCTTAGCCGGCTTCCAGCTATAAAACTTAGCGTGGTAACTCTTCTGCTTGTTAATAGGCGGCAGTTCCAGCGGTAGCTTTGTTGCCAAATAATAACTGCTAAATAAATTTAATGCTTTCAATTATGTAATTAAAGAGATATGGAACTTATCTTGTGTTTGGAAATCACATTTGCCTTAAATGTTACATAAAATAAATCAAGTTAGAATTAAAATTATGAATTTACCTAATTAATTATTTATTTTATATCACCTTGGAATGGGAAAATTCAAAAACTCGAAAGTAATGTTTTTAGATTTGTGCGTCGACTTCCAATATGGTACGATATCAAAACCTATGTTTAAAAAAATTGCATTATACAGATTGTGTATCCTTAGATGGGTACTGCCTCTTATTGTTGATTTCTTTAGATAGGTAAATAATTATTTATTGACACAAGTGTTGCATATTATGGATGTCATTGGTAGTGCCCATATTTGTGACACAAGGTGTTCAAAAAAATTAACACAATGTAAAATTGCTGGAACCTCAAGGAGTAGTTGAATACGAAATTTATTTAAAAAAAAAAAAACAAATCATCAATCAATACAGAGATAAGATAATGCGTTCGCTACTGCTGTTGCAATTTTTAACTAACTAACTTTTTTGTTTTTCGACATACTGACTTCGGACCGTTTCCATTCAACGCAGAACGGACAATCAGAACCAGAGTAGTGGGGAGATTTTTTTAATTATTTTTTCAATTCAACGCACCGTTTCCGAATTATAAGACCTTTTTTACTGTATCACCTCACACACCTCTTCTTTCCGAAATTTATTTTCCACATACGGACTTCGGACCTTTTCCATTCAACGCAGAACTGTCATACAGAACCAGGGGTGTGGGGAGATTTTTTCAATTATTTTTTCGATTTAACGCACCGTTTCCGAGTTATACGGCCTTTTTACTATAACACGACATACCTCTTGTTTCCAGAATTTATTTTCGACATACGGACTTCGGACCTTTTGCATTCAACGCAGAAGGAACATACAGAACCCGGGAGGGAGGGGTTGACATTTTTCAATTATTTTTTCGATTCAACGCACCGTTTCCGAGTTATAAACACTTTTTTATCCTATGACGTCACACACCGTTGGTCCCGATTTTTTTTTTTACATGCGGGTTTTGACGTTTTTCACTCGTTCACCATGGGAGATTTATTTGTTCACCATGGGAGATTTTTTGATACTTAAGAGTCTAAGCAAATACTGTTTTTTTTTTTTTCATATATTGTGACACCCCGCTCTGCGTCACCCACCGAGTGCTCTACTCAGAACCAAGGGGAAATTTGTTTATATTTCCAGCCATTTCCGAGTTACGAGCAAAAACCATTTTTTTTTCTTATACTGTGTGACATCATAGATCGATAACGAAGGCTTAACAAGGCCACGCGCTCTACCCCACGTTCCCTCCCTAGGTGTCCTGAAATTGCTGGGGAGACTCCTGAAGACAGCAGAGAGAGAGAGAGAGAGATAGAAGCTTTCTACGAGGACAGAGTCACTCTATCTCTATCGCACACTATAACTCTATCTCTCTCGCACACAATCAGACAAAAACGACAGAAACGAACCTTCTTTTAAAAATACATGGGATTTATCATTATTAGAATAACCCATTTTAATTTAAAAAATTAAAAAAATTACAATGGGTTATTCTGATGACGAAAAATAAAACATAATTAACTGTATTATTCAAATAACAATAATGTGCAAAAGTTCTTCAGGAATATTGGCAAATTTATTTTGGAGGAAGAATCCCGTCAACGAACACTAAAAAATATTATTAGAAACCTTAGGTGGCCAGAAAACAGCCCCGATCTCATTGTCAGTCCTTTAGACATATTTTTTTTTCCCTGAAAGTTTACAAATATTGAAAGAAAAATACAGGACGAAATGCTTGATAATTTTGAATTTGTTTTTGAAGCAATTAATAGTAAATTGAAACATATTTTCAACTGTATCATCACAATCACTTGCATGTTGATTTGTAAAAATTGTAGGTATATTAATGTTATTTCGTTTTTAGTTATTCTCCTTATGTTGTTGTAAAGGTTAGTTATAAAAAGCGTTGTTTGTTATTTTCATAAGGATGAATTTTAATTTTTTTTAATGATTTTTTTTATTTTAAACATATATATTTTATGCCAGTAAATTTTGATGTCAAATGAAATAAAGGAAAAGTCGTACATTTGTATTTAAAGTTTCTTTCTATCTTTAATTATTAAACCTATAAGTGGATGTCAAAATACAAAAAAAAACCTGTACCTACATTCCGCGACGTACTAATAACCCACCTTGTATATTAAATAAATTTATCGTCATCATCAAATATTAAAAAAATTATATTACAAGCTGTTTAAAATATTATTACGAATTTTGTTTATTTGGAAATATATTTTCTGCAGTATTTCAATACCAAAAAATGAAAATAGTAGGTAGCTAATTAACGAAATTATGATTAAATAACTTAATTGTAACACCACTGCAGAATATCATATGATACATACATAGATATTCGTTGATTCTTTAAAAACATTTTTATCAATACCTACATCATACATTGAAGTAAATACAGTAACGCAAAAAACAGATATTGATAAAAAAGTGTACAAAAGAAATCCGTAAGTACGCCTGGCAACATTACCAAAGTCTTGTTTATATGTTGCTAGGATACGCTTAGGTATGCGGGCCGCTGTATTTGATTCTTCCTAAAATTCTGCTGGTGGTGTACTCTACCGGCAATTCGGAAATTTAAAACTGCTGGCCTATTCCAGGAGCGGTCTGTGGTGATAGCTATTTTGTCTGTGATATTTGTATTGAATTCATTATTCACTTAATTATTAAATATTAAGTGTTAAAAGTGAAAGATTCCAGACAAAAGATTTTATTTTGTAATTCCACGATAATGTAAGTGTAATTTTTATAAAGAAGTAAAAAACAAGAATAGCGTGCCGATTACATTAAAAACAAGATTCTTATTTCTCACTTTGCTTAATTCTTTAGTTTGTGCACAAACTAGTTTTACAATGAGCCGAGAAAACAATGCATTTACTATTTCCGAACATGTCGATATGGTGTTAGTGTATGGTGCAGCCGGAGAAAATGTGCTCGCGGCGACTAGGTTGTACCGGGAACGATGGCCACAACGTCACCCTCCACGTGCAAATACAATCCTACAGTGCGTTCAACGGCGAAGACCCCATAATTAGTACTCGACGAGTCGCACAGCAAGTAGGAACCTCATCTCGCACCGTACAGTTCAACAGATTTTACCCCCAGATTGTGATCAAAGAATGCGTTTTTGCAAATGGTTTTTACGGCAATGTGCAAATCAAGAAGACTTTCCTGCTTATGTTTGTGTAACAGATGAGGGACATTTACTCCTGATGAAGTGATTTCCATATATTATGGAATGCATATGCACATATGTGCCGATGAAAATCCTCACGCGATTAGGGAAACTCATTTTCAACATCAGTTCTCGGTAAATGTTGGTACTGGCTGGCGATGTACTTGTGGGTCCTTATTTCTTTCAATGACGACTAAATGGATATGCCGACTTTTTGGAGAACCGGTTTCCTGAATTATTGGACGATGTGGCATTACAAGTTCGGGCACGCATGTTTTATCTTCAAGATGGGGCTCTTCCACACTCTAGAAGTAACGACACTTTTGAATGAAATGTTTCCTCAGCGATGGATTGGACGCTTTGGTCCTGTGTCATGGCCACATCGGTCACCCGATCTACCTCCAATGGACTTTTATTTTTGGAGTCACTTGAAGTCATTGATTAGGATACTTCAATTGCTACGGTGGAAGAACTGCGAAACCGTATGCTTGAAGCTGCTAACACAATTAGGGGAATAGCAGAATTTGGGAAAATATTCGCCAAAATTGGGTGCATCGGTGTCATGCCTGTATCTGCGCTACTGGGGATCAATTTCAACATTTTCTCTAGAAATGGTAAGTTTTATTTCATTTTGTTCCATATTTTAATGGAGTTTGTTTAGTGCACACAGTTGGCAGCTGCAACAATGCATTTGAGATAGTAATTCCTATTAATTATTATTATAATAAGAAAATATCAGTTTTTTTTAAATATCTATTTTTCTTAGTTTGTACTTTTGCGTTGAAAAATTCCCCAAAAATTGAGAAGTATAAGTATCTTTCTCTCTTTTCAACGACGATTAGTTTACACGGCTGGTCTACAGCACGTAACTCATCGTACAGCACACGGACAGGACCGTTCCAGAGAAAATATTTTGATCCATAATTGAACTTCAATTTACGGAAAAAAAACGTAAAAGTAGAACTTTTTCGTATAAGACTTTTCTATTACAAATATTAGGAAGCTGTAGTTTAATTTTTATAGATTATACACGCCACACCCTGTAAAAAAGCAGTATAATTTTCNGAAAATATTTTGATCCATAATTGAACTTCAATTTACGGAAAAAAAACGCAAAAGTAGAACTTTTTCGTATAAGACTTTTCTATTACAAATATTAGGAAGCTGTAGTTTAATTTTTATAGATTATACACGCCACACCCTGTAAAAAAGCAGTTTAATTTTCAATACTTACACTCTGGCCTTCCTTCTTAACTTTCTTCTCAACTTTCTCATACTTTTGCGGTTTTGGTAGGAATTCGTTCGTTTTATACGTGGTAGTCTTCTCTTGAGTATTACTATTATTAGCAATGACAGCTTGATTCGTTTGGTTCGCGTTATTACTGTTACTGACATTGTTACTTCCATTGTTATTTGAACCGTTGGTGCTTGAAGTGAGCTTGACCACCACATTACAGCCGGAGTTGGAAGAACTGACGGAGCCGGAGCGGCTGTGAGACCCGGAATCTCTGGAATGAGAACGGCTGTTTGTCCGATCGAAATTCTTCTTCTTGGATTCTTCTCGCACTAGGTAAATGTCTTCGTAGTCATTTTCATGGTCGCCAGATCGCTCGGATAGGTCGGAGGATGACAGGTTCTCATCTGACCCTGCTCCACTGCTGCTGGAGTGCACTTCTACTTTTACTGTAACAAAAAATGGCGCTGTTAAAAATAGTAATACATACAGGCTGTTCCGCTTAAACTCGGATCTTTGCATAGCTCTAGTAATGCCGATAATACAAAAATATTGTCTCAAATAAAACTTGCGTAATATTGATTTCGAGAGGAAAATTGGTCCATTTTGTGACTGCTTTGTGTAGCTATTAGGACTAATAAAAATCAAAACTGATATGAAAAATACCACATCGCCCTCCATAAATTGCCACAAATCAACCCCCCAAGATCTAAGAATTAAATAAAAGTATATTTTCCCTAGGCTTGAGCCCTGAAACTGAGTCGAAGCATTATTCGTGGTTCCATTGTATATTTTGGATATTCAAAGTCTTAGCCAATCCTTCAGCTTGAAGTGTGTATGAGAAAAACATCTCTAAAGGGTCAAAATCAGCTAAAATTCTACATTGGACCAATTCAAATCACAAAGCAAAAATACCTAGTGCCAAGACTCAGCGAAATCCACGCACCCACACAACAGGCAAGTGAGCGACGCAATGTGTATATTCCTAATCCACAGACACTGCACAAAATGGGTTAGGATCTCAACCTCAATCTATTATATCATCCAACACCGCAGATCTAGTCAGATTTAGTCTAATATGAATAGGTTGGAGGTATTTCGAATGATTGATCAATGGAACTTGAAGAATCATAAGTAACGACAAATTGCAAGAAGAAAGGACCCCGCACAAATCTTATGGAAATTGGGTCCCGGTCAAATTCGCTGAATTTTTGATATGTGATAGAGTTCATCATAAAAGTCAATTGTCTCAATGGCCACAAAGCTCAAAAATGGATAGTTTGGCCGGTACAGAGCTTTAAAGCTCCGAATATCCTCCACGGATTTATGTATATGCGCAGTGTGTATAGACTTTTGAAATAGCCTATTTCATTTTTTTTATTATCTAGGTTTATATTTTTGAGGTTGCTGAATTCAGATCTGTTGTTAGATTTTCAAAATTGACAGTTGGCAGCTGTCAAATAGCTGTCAATGTGCTATAATAAAGCCAAAAACTTGTTTTTTTATGTTTTATCTTTCTTTTTTTTTAGTTCGATAAGTTCAAAGACGATATCAAATCAATAACAATGACTATCGGCAGCTGTCATTTAGCTGTCAACAATTCTTCAAAGTCCGGTAATAAAGTCAAAAAATTATTTTTTGTTTATAACTTCAAGTTTTTTAGATAAGTGAATATAAATATGATATAAAATTATGTAGTCATCAGCTTACAGCTGTCAACAAGCTGTCAACTAACTGTCAAAATGCAATAATAAAGTCAAAAAGTTACTTTTTTTAAAAAGCTTTAAGTTGCTTAGATCACTGAGTTCAAAAGTGATGTCATAAACTTATATCATGTTTGATTTCTTATCCACAAAGTTAAGCACAAAAAATAAGTTACTTGCTCTATTATTGCATTTTGACAGTTAGTTGACAGCTTGTTGACAGCTGTAAGCTGATGACTACATAATTTTATATCATATTTATATTCACTTATCTAAAAAACTTGAAGTTATAAACAAAAAATAATTTTTTGACTTTATTACCGGACTTTGAAGAATTGTTGACAGCTAAATGACAGCTGCCGATAGTCATTGTTATTGATTTGATATCGTCTTTGAACTTATCGAACTAAAAAAAAAGAAAGATAAAACATAAAAAAACAAGTTTTTGGCTTTATTATAGCACATTGACAGCTATTTGACAGCTGCCAACTGTCAATTTTGAAAATCTAACAACAGATCTGAATTCAGCAACCTCAAAAATATAAACCTAGATAATAAAAAAAATGAAATAGGCTATTTCAAAAGTCTATACACACTGCGCATATACATAAATCCGTGGAGGATATTCGGAGCTTTAAAGCTCTGTACCGGCCAAACTATCCATTTTTGAGCTTTGTGGGCATTGAGACAATTGACCAGTATGATGAACTCTATCACATATCAAAAATTCAGCGAATTTGACCGGGACCCAATTTCCATAAGATTTGTGCGGGGTCCTTTCGATCAAATACATATGTACAATTTTAAAAGTTTTCGTAACAACAATGAATAATATAGAAAGCATTATCACTAAAGCTTTAAAAAATGTTGCTGAAAAATTTGTGTAATAAGTGCTGATTACGATCAGTAAATATAATGATTGACAATTTCAAAAAAATAGTTTGAGTTCGAAAATGCACATCATTTGCTCATGTAGATCAATTCTGTGAAAAACATTTGCCAAGATAAGGAAGAAATGAAACACTAATATTAGGATAAATGGTAAGTAAATATGATGGCAGATAGCAAATAGACTCCTTTACAGGTCCTCACTCCAAGATAAACTCTCTAAATGTAAAGTTGTAGAAGGTTTTGAGTTTTTGGGAAGAAGGGAGTTTTGGTATTAGAGTTTGCAACTTGGATCCGCCGAATTTCAGCTGATTTTTAGATTTTAGGGGTGGCTATCTGGTGTTTATCCGAAACTGAAGATTTAGTAGTCTCTAAATATCAAAAATATGTAAAATGAGCCCCACAAAATATGCTGCATCAGCTCGTATACTGGTCTTGTACAAAAAGAAACTGCTGCTTTTCCGGTTTTAAGTATGATTTTTGGCAATTATGAGAAAACTAATTATCGCGTGGTGATCCACTAGCCCTTCCAGTTTTTTGGAATAAGTATTTTTGTTCTAACATTCCGAGATATTCCATTCATATTCCGATTTATCCCTACTTATTCTGGTTTATTCCGGCTTATTGCCGTTTATACTGGTTTATTTCCATTTATTCCCACTTATTCCAATGTTTTCCATTTATTTCTATAAAAGTTATATATGACATAATACTTATAGATTATATCTCACCATTACTTAAAAACATGTATGATGTACTTTTCAAAAATAGGTTTTTGTAGTGAGGCCATCTATTCGCATGCGTCGGAATGGTAGATCCTTCACAGATGCGCTAGCTAAACATGACATTTGGACACAAAGAAACGGAGTTATTGCGTTGACAGTTGTGTCATCGATACAAAAATGATCTTCGAACAAAGAGCTAATATTAATTTTTGTTTTAAACTTGGTAAAACTTTTACCGAAACGTTTCAATTGATGAACCAAGTTTATGGTAATGATTTTTTATCCCGTGGTAGAGTTCATGAATGGTAAATGTGGATTAAAAACGGTCGTGAGGACATATATGATGAACAACATGTTGGAAACCGAAATCCGTGATCACCGCAGATTTTACGAAAATTGCGTAAATTCATCAAAGATCAGTAAAATTCATGAAGTTGGAATTGAGCATCACAAAAACAACAATTTATCGCATTTTTAATAAACATTTGTGCTACCGAAAAGTGTCTACAGAGTTTGTTCCGCACAAGTTGACTGACGACCAAATATTGCTCAGAATTCAACATTCGAAAGACATCATCAAAGAGGCCAAAATTTTTCTTTATAGCATTGTGATCGGTTCTGTAACGTGGTGTTTTCAATATGATCCAGAAACCAAGGCGTCAAACTGCCGAGTGGTAGGCGCCAGACGAGCTAAAACCCAAAAAATCTCGTTTGGAGAGGTCAAAAGTGAAGACAATGTTGATTTGCTTTTACGATTCTAAGGGCATTGTCTACAAAGTTTGTTCCAGCGGATCAAACCGTTAATGCACAATTCTGTTTAGATGTTCTGAAGTGTTTGGTGCATTCAAAATATCACGTAGAATGAACTTGACGTTTGCTGCACCCACTCCCTGTATTCACCTGATCTGGCATCGCGCGACTTTTACCTTTTCGAAAAAATGCATTTGCCGATGAAATGAAAGCGTTTTGTGGACGTAGAAGCCATCCAAAAGGGTTGTACCGACATCCTGAAGGATATCCCCGCCAACGATCTAAAACACTCATTCAACATGCTTTTAGTCACTTATAAATACTTCGTAATTTTCTGCGAAGACCTTATTATTTTTTCAATATAATCAAAGTCTCGTTATTGGGACACTCGGTATTTATAATATAATACGTGTTTGTTCATATTAAAATTAAATGTGTTATAAAAACCACTCATAATATAAGCGAAAGAAAAGAAATTGTGACACGGTTTCTCTTTGACAATGTCAATGCAGGTGGGAATTACAACATTTTTATATTTCGTTTTAACCAGTTATATGAAATATCTGCACTTGATAATACCGACAAAACAATGCCCTGTTTGGCATCAGTGGCTTTAATCAATTTCACTAATTCACGGAAGAATAAACGTCCTTGCATTGTTCCATCACAAAAAGAATTCCAATTCATGGCTACTTTCAGTAAATAAATACACATACGTTTCCTTTCATTGCAAATTATTCCAGTCGTCTAAAAAAATTTCCGACTGCTATTATATGGTTGTTGATAAATTTATTTTATTTTTTTTTGATTGAAACATTGATATAAGAAAATTGACATCTAATTGTAGTTGTTATAAAACACCCAAACTTTTACTTTCTGCAGTGATACTCTCTAGTTAAAAAAATTATGGAAGTACCGAACTAAATTACTTAATTCATCAATTTGGTACACTTTCATGCACTTTTATTATTTCCTAGATTGTTATATCTTCATATGAGACATCTATATGTATCTTATACAGGGTATCACCTAACGAATGTTACATAATTCAAGGGTAGAATCTAGAACCCAAATGGTTTCGATTTAACCAAACTTGCCTAAACGAAAAATACCGCAAAAACAAGTTACAGGGAGATAAAGTTTTTTTTTTAAATTTTTTCTCCTTAACTCAGAACCCAGTTAATCGATTTGAGCAAAATTTGCGGTTGCTTAGTTTCTCTTCATGAAGTATGCAGCGGTTATGTTCCTATTAGGTTAAATAATACAGGGCGTTCATTTTACTACAATCCTTTGTGGATATTCTTCTGTAACTTTTTTGTACGTTTAAATTTTTACACGCAATTATCAGAAATAGGTGGAGAATTTTATTCTACACAAAAAATG